AAATGGTACCAGTTTTTCAACAAATAGTACCACTTTCTTCTATTAATACCGGTTATTGATGAATTGGTACCTACTGTGTAGAAAGAACAAAAAATGAATTACTTCCAATTTGGTCAATATTTCCAATATTTGTACCAAATCTAGTGCAAAATAATACCGCAATTATGGTGTTATAGTACCAGATATCGGGTCTTCAGTACCAACTCCGACGAACATAAATAAAAAAAAAAAAACTATTTTTTGTAAAATAGTGCATGTTTTGACGCAAATAATACTACTGTTTTTTCTGCGAAGTACCGGTTATTGATCAATTAGTACAAACTTTTGGTCAACAAAAATGAATTATTCAATTGTGGTCAACATTTACAATAATTGATATCAGACCTAGAGTAAGATAGTACCATCTTTCGCTGTTTTAGTACCATATATTGGGTCTTTAGTACCACTTGTAATTAACACATAAAAACACCAAATTTCGGTCTCAAATGATGTTTATATGACCAGTAATCACTCTCACATTATTTTCTATGAGATTTAAAATGTTTTTAATTGAGTTTAATCGTAAAATGGTCATGAACTCGACACACTAATGAGAAATCACTACAACTACACTTCATTTCATTGAATGACACACTCCATCTCATAGAATCATCATACATGACTGCTCCAAATTCTACCTATATGTTTTAACTTCTACTATATTTCATCTAAATCACGCCTGAGCGATCCACGTGTCATGGTAGACATGAAGGATTAGAGAAATCACAATTCTTGAAATAGTACATGTTTTAGCCAATATAGTACCGCATCTTCTTCTACGTGGTACATGTTTTTGATCGATTAGTACCAACTTTTGGTCAACGAAGATTGATTATTCAATTGTGGTCAACATTTGCAATAATTGGTACCAGACCTAGAGTAAGATAGTACCACCTTTCGCTGTTTTAGTACCATATATTGGGTCTTTAGTACCACTTATAATGAACACATAAAAACACCGAATTTCGGTATCAAATGATGTTTATATGACCAATAATCACTCTCACATTATTTTCTATTCGATTTAAAAGGTTTTAAATTGAGTTTAATCGTAAAATGGTCATGAGCTCGACACACTAATGAGAAATCACTACTAATACACTGCATTTCATTGAATGACACACTTCATCTCATAGGATCATCATACATGACTGCTCCAAATTCTACCTATATGTTTTAACTTCCACTATATTTCATCCAAATCAAGCGTGAACGATCCACGTGTCATGGTAGACATGAAGGATTAGAGAAATCACGATTCTTAAAATAGTACTTATTTTAGCCCATATAGTAGTGCATCTTCTTCTACATGATACCTGTTTTTGATCGATTAGTACCAACTTTTGATCAACGAAAATGGATTATTCAATTGTGGTTAACATTTGCAATAATTGGTACCAGACATAGAGTAAGATAGTACCATATTTCGGTGTTTTAGTACTAGATATTGGGTCTAAATAGAATCATCATACATGACTGCTCCATGAGAAATCACTACTAATACATTTGATCTCAGAGAATCAACATACATGACTGCTCCAAATTCTACCTATATGTTTTAACTTCCACTATATTTCATCAAAATCACGCGTGAACGATCCACGTGTCATGGTAGACATGAAGGATTAGAGAAATCACGATTCTTAAAATAGTACTTATTTTAGCCCATATAGTACCGCATCTTCTTCTACGTGGTACCTGTTTTTGATCGATTAGTACCAACTTTTGGTCAACGAAAATGGATTATTCAGTTGTGGTTAACATTTGCAATAATTGGTACCTACCAGACATAGAGTAAGATAGTACTATCTTTCGGTGTTTTAGTACCAGATATTGGGTCTTTAGTACCACCTGTAACGAAGACATAAAAACACCAATTTTCGGTCTCAAATGATGTTTATATGACCCATAATCACTTTCACATTAGTTTATATGAGATTAAAATGTTCAAAATTTGAGTTTAATCGTAAAGTGGTCATGAATTCAACAAAGTAATGAGAAAACACTACTAATACACTTCATTTCATAGAATGACACACTTTGTCTCATAGAATCATCATACATGACTACTCCAAATGTTACCTATATGCTTCAACTTCCATTATTTTTATCCAAATCACGCGTGAATGATCCACATGTCATGGTAGACATGAAGGATTATAGAAATCATGATTTTTAAAATAGTACCTGTTTTAGAAAAAATAGTACCTTATCTTCTTCTACGTGGTACCACTTTTTGATCGATTAGTACCTACTTTTGTGAACGAAAATGAATTATTTCAATTTTGGTCAACATTTACAAAAAGTAGTACCAAACATAGAGTAAGATAGTACCAGTTTTATATTGTTGTAGTACCTGATATTTGGTCTTTACTACCACTTGTAATAAACACATAAAAATACCGAATTTCGATCTCAAATGATGTTTATGAGACCCATAATCACTCTCACATTAATTTATATGAGATTTAAAATACTTTTAATTGAGTTTCATCTTGAAATGGTCACGAACTCGACACACTAATGAGAAAACACTATTAATACAATTCATTTCATTGAATGACACACTTCATCACATAGAATCATCATACATGACTACTCCAAATTCTACCTATAAAAATAATGAATAACTAACAAAGTAATAATCAATTTAAAATGGGGTCCGTATTTTTTCAACTTAATTTTCTTATTTTATTTAATATCTATGATAAAACGCGTTAAAATTATTATTTTATGGTGTATTACTGAATTAGATTTTTATTATATTTGTTATAAAATAATTTATGTTGTATTCATATTTTTGAAATTATTTTTTCAATAAAAATAGTTTTTATTTATAATGGCTGATGTAATTATTTTTTATTGTATATATGCAATATGGATGTCAAATCGAATAAATTAAAATATGGTTATTTTCAAATATAACATACAATAAAATAAAATAAACATAAGAAATATAAGATTTAATAATAAAAAGAATACATATTTATTATGACAATTACTATATGAATTAAATAAGAAAGAGTAAGAGTAGTATATGGTAACTTGAGAAAAAAAAACTAAAATAATTTATGGTAATTCTCAAGCCTAAAATTGAACATGTACATGTGTCAATACAAAGCATATAATTATGCCAATTAAATTTCTGAAGCTTATGAGTCTGCTACTTAGGCTCAGGGCATTCGAAAGTTATAAATAGGGGTGATTTATAAAATTATCATTAATATCTTATGACAAGTTATTGTAGGAATATGCTGAAAAATGAGAATTATATCACATTGATTTTATAACAAATCAACCTAACATTCGACTTTCATACACATACCAAATAAAATTCATACCACTTATTTTATTTTCAAAATTTAATACACATCTACCCGTACCAAATGAAATTCATATAATTTAAATTTGGACATTTCATGTCAAAATAAAGCCGCCCTCATTTTATTAATCATAATACTCAACTGTTATTGTATTTTAAAATATAGTGTCATATAATATTATTAAATGCCCCTACTCCCAACAAGTTGCTGGTCGGGATCCTTCTTGGAACCATCGAACCCTGGACTTCTGGAACCAGTACCTTTCTTCTTGGGCAAGAACATTATTAGTAGCAGCAATCAGTTCCTTTTTCCAAACGCTACTAGAACTCTTTTAAATTAACAACCCAATTTTATTATATGCAATATTTGATACTTCTAACAAACAAACTTTTCTACTCTAATAGCTTACGCAACACGAATTCCTACTTACGCTGCGTAGTATAAGAGTCAAAACGCGACGAATTACATTGTAAACATATTAAAACACTAACAGGAATATAATTTCAATATAAGTAGCCGTTAAGGCGAGATTATATTATTTATTGTGAACCCCGTGCGTCAAAAAGACCAAAATTTTAAATATTTATTTGTTGAAAATTAAGCACATCATTTATTATAAAACAAATAAATACTATGATAGAATATCAACCAATTTAATGCGTGCTATATCATGTTTATCAGTTTCATAAATGGAATGTTTCGTCTAAGTGATTTTAATTGCAATAATTATGGAATGTTGTTGTTGTGGATATATTAAGGAATGATCTATATTTATATAAAATTAAAAGACAAATTTGTTTCCATAAAATGAAACTTACCTAAAAATAAAATCAAAATATTTCTAAATTTCAAAATTAAAGCTCTATTGAGTTTATGACCACTTGTCGAGTAAACTTAATTAAACATATTCAAATACTCATAGAAACTAATGTATAAGTGATTTTGTAATGTAAATATCATTTAAGACCGAAATTCGATGTTTTTTTATGTTCATTGGAATTGGTACTGAAGACGCGATATTGGGTACTAAACTATCATTTAATGGGTACTGTCTAACTCTAGGAGTGATACTATTTTTGCAAACATTGACCAAAATTAAAGTAATTCATATTGGTTGACCAAGTAGGTTTTCCTTTTTCTTAATTTGCCATATAATGCTCTTATTTTTTCTTATTTAATTCATATAATAATTGTTATAAATATGTATTCTATTTATTTTTAAATATAATAAGAAATTAAGAAAAATTAGTTGTAAGTGAGATAAATAGTAAAACATGAAAAAAGAAAATAATTAAAAATGTGTGAAAAGAGAGAAATAGAAATAATAAAAAATTAAGAATGATAGTAGTGGAGAGAGAGAGAAATAATAAAATAATAAGAAGAGGTAGTTAGTAGTGGGATGATGTCACAATAAAATTTCTTTGTCATTCTTTTTAATAGGAGGGATTTAATAAAAGATAATTAAGGGGTAAGTAGTAAAAAAGAAAGAAAATATGGGTAGGGACCGACTTGGAAGTTGATTTAGGAATTAAGAATTTTTAAAAAAAGCTCTAAATAAAAAAAAACCCATTTTAAGGTTATAAATTTGTAACACTAGCGCAATTTCCAATATTACCACAACCAATTTTGGAAGTCCGACGCAATTCTCTTCTCTTGCACCACAAAAGGGTACAATTAGCTTGTACAGCTTGTACCCTGGTCATTCAAACTCCAGCGTACAACCCAAGCGACGAACGCAGGTGTATCCAACTCACATCTCCGCACCGGAGACAATCGTCATCACACATAGCACGCACGCCCACGTCACGTGACCTTCTCCCTCTCAACACCCCCGCCTATATAATAACCTCCCTCGTGTCGCTTAATCCGTTTCCTACATCAGCAGCGCAAAGTCCGAAAGGCGAAAACCCTCTTTATCTCTCTCTATCTCAAAACACACATAATGCCATACAGCGGTGACAGTTAGGAACACACACACAGAGAAGGAACAAAAAGTTGAGCCATGTCGATTCGGTTCAAATTCAGGAGCTCGGTGAATTATGACGCGTTGGAGATTGGAGAGCGCGCGTCGATTGGCGTCGGGGAGCTGCGGGCAAGGATTCTGAAGGGAAAAACGGCTCAGCAGCAACAGCAAGGATTTGATCTCGTATTCTCTGACGCGGATTCTGGTTTAGGTACGTATGTAATTGCTCGAATTCGATTTGACTCCTTCGCCATCTCGTTCTGTTTCCTTCTTGGCTTAATCCCCGTTTATGCTTTTTTTTGGTCTTGTTTTACGTGTTCTCTTTCTTTTTTCTTTTTAAATATTTTTTTAAGTAGCTCATGGTGCTTGTATAATTCTCTATTTTGACTTAACATTTTGGGTTAATTGAGTTGGTTTTAATTTTTTTCTTACTGTTGTTTGGGCGGATTTGGCAGAGTTTAAGGGTGATGATTGCAGTATTCCAAGCGGATCCAGCGTCATTGTTAGGAGAGTTCCTGCTGGAACTATGGCACCAGTTGTGTAAGTTCTCTTTATTCTTTTTGGTGTGTGCGCGCTTGTTGTTCATTGTTCTTAGGGTGGGTCTGTTGTGATGCATGCATGTCCATTGTTTGCTTTCATTATCTGGTGTGTAATTGAATTTCTCATGTCTGGCAACTGTGTTGGTTATTCTTTATGAGTTCGGACTCCATACTGCTCTTTTTGGTTATGCATTGGGATTTAGTGATTAATTATTGATTTTATGCTCAACAGTTGTCACTTTGGATGTGTTTGCAGTCGTGTTCATTATGTTGTGCATGTGAAGTACCGTTGCTTTGTTTTGTTTGATTTTGCTTGTCAGTTCCGGAACATGGCTGTGGTACTTTGTGATTGTACGTTATACATATTTTTGGCTGCAAGTAGATTGCATAATTTCTTGCTCATTGTGGCAATCGATGTGTACTGGAGCACGCATTACATGTTTCGATGCTTTTGTAGAAAAGTGAAGAAAAATCCATTGTGCGAAAAGATGATTATAATAGAATAATGCTGTTAATGTTATCTCCTAAGTTCTTTATGTGAATTATGCAAATGCTAAGTTTCTATGGAACACATGTTGTCATTCTACTTTTAATAATGATAGTTAATGCTATCTTCTAAGTTCGATATGTGTATTATGTGGATTCGAAGTTTCTAGTCGACACGTGTTTGTTGGGCCAAAAAAGAAAAGAAAAAGATATGGAGGTCCTGAAATCAACATAAATGATGGCTGTCACCTTTTTGGGAGTTCATCATTATTTGGCTTGTAAAGAACAGTTAAATATAAATTGTCCTTTTAAAGTGTTCTCGTGAATTAAATGTCAAATTCTCGTTGAAATTAATTTAACCCCAATATTGGTCCTTTTTGTGAAAAACAACTATGCAATGATTCGTGTTCTATCCACATTATAAATTCTTCAACATCTATCCAATTGGTAACTTCCAATATCCAGACGGGCTGGAGTTGGTTGTACCGATTGACTGCCACTTTGTCAGAGGAAAAGAACAACATAGAACCTATCGAGATGATATTTGAATTCAAATTGTGTATTTACTGTTTCTAGTTGTTGTTGTCGTCGTTGTTTTTTT